TCGCAGGCCTTGGCATAATCCTGCTGGCTTATGAAAACACAATAACCCAAAGCAGTGGTCTGATTCTCTGTTATTTATTAACTGTGAAGATTTTCCAGAAATATTTCAACTATGTACTTTTTTTTTATTCACCTCCTGTATTTGTTGTACTCCTGCCCTCTTAAACTTGTTTATCTCCTCTTATCTTTGACTCCTTTTGTCAGTCTTTATTTATGCATTTCTCTCTGTTCTGTTCTCGCTTGCTGTGTGATGTGCTGTGGGGCGCCACCGCTGGTTTGTTTTGAATGTTGGGTTGAGCGGGAGCACACAGCCCAAATTAGAGCGGTTTCATCACTCTCTCCAAGGTTATCCTCAGGCAGGCTGTGCAAGAGGCCGGATTGGGAGATGAGAGGAAAGAGAGAAAAAGAGGAGAGAGCGGAGGTCGGTTAGGGACGTGAAATAATATATATATATAGACAAAAAGAACAGAAGGGGGAGCTGAAGTTGCTGTCAGATACCACGTTGTAATCGATCTGCTTTACGACAACATCATTTAAGCTCATTTGCATGCTATGAAATCATTGAAATGTCAGGTTTAATTGCGATGCTGGACAGATTTAATGCCAATTATGTCCAAGAAAGAAAAGAAAGTAAGAGAAACTTTGTAGACGTTTTGAGTTCACGGTGACACTGTTTAAGTGCAATTTATTGTATAGTTCCACTGTCTCAGTAATTCTGTCATCTCTTTCTCCGTATCCCTGTGGACCATTACCTCCTGTTTTCCCCGCTTCTTGCCATGGGCACTGAATACAAGTATGCAAATAGAGCGATAACATAGGCTTTCATGTTGTGCTCATGTCATCCCCTCTGTCAATCAGCAGTCAAAACAAGACGAGACCTGAAACGACAGTCACTTTAGCCCTCTGAGCTCGGGAGCCAAACTCAGTGCTTTCCTTTTATTTATTCAGATTTTTTTTTGTCAGATGTCAGAAAACCACAATAAATGCCACCATTGTCATCCATACACTATATCAATATGACACACACGTAAAATAAACAATGTAAAAATAGAGAAATAAACGGTAAACCTCAAATGAACCAGAGAAGAGTCCACTGTATGTCTGACATGTAATACAGCTTCATCCAGTTCCCGGGAGTTGGATTATTGTATATATCTGTATTCATATATATATATTCATATATATATATATATATTTATAAATATTCATTTATTTATATATTTATGTGCAGTATATGTCTGTTCAGTACATGTTGTACCACATTTCATTGTACAATTTGTTGCTTACAGAGGCTGCTAGCTCAGTTCTGGTTCTCCGGAATGACCAGGTGTCCGATGCTCCGTCCAAGTCCAACAGGCCAGCCAAGGAGCCTGTTGCTATGACAACTGAAGAGTTCCTCCACTTCAACTTTTATCCTTGCCTTGGCAACGCCCAGCAGTGCGTGACAGTGTAGTCTCCTTATCCCTCTTCTGCAGTCAGAGGGAGATTCGGAGTTGTTTTGGAGACATTTCCCCTGGATATAATGGGGGACTGCGTTGTGTATGGGTATAAACAGATTTGCAGCCAGCTTTTTGTGGGTAAGTAGCATTCAGAGTGCTACTATTACCTGAAAGCAATTAGAAGCCAATTAGGAAGGAGCCTGTTGCTATGACAACTGAAGAGTTCCTCCACTTCAACTTTTATCCTTGCCTTGGCAACGCCCAGCAGTGCGTGACAGTGTAGTCTCCTTATCCCTCTTCTGCAGTCAGAGGGAGATTCGGAGTTGTTTTGGAGACATTTCCCATGGATATAATGGGGGACTGCGTTGTGTATAGGTATAAACAGATTTGCAGTCAGCTTTTTGTGGGTAAGTAGCATTCAGAGTGCTACTATTACCTGAAAGCAATTAGAAGCAAATTAGGATTGATTTCTAAACTGTACGTTTTAGTGCAGCCCACGTGTGCTCATGTTCAGTGGTTTAATATAGACACACTATAGTCAGCAAACTCTCCTACGAAATCACCAGGGGAACACTTAATGTTCTGTTGTTAGCTAAGTGTGAGAGCGGTATAAAGAAGGGCTCCAAAACATCCTGTGACCATGAGAAGAGCGAAGGGAACCACTAGGGGTTTGCTGAAGATATTTCTTGAGGATCAGACAGAAAGAGAGCAAGAGAAAGTGAGTGGGAAGAAAGAGTGAATGGAAGAAGAAAGTGAAAAAAAGATGGAAAGAAAAAAGAAAGAATGGAAAAAAGGCAGAATGAATGAAGAAGGAAGCAAACATTAAAGGAAGTGAACAAAAAAGAATGAACGAAAAAGGGAAAAAAAAGAATGAAAAAGAACGATTATCTCAGAAGAAAGTGCAAAAGGGATGCAAGTTAGAAATAAGTATTGAAAGAAAGGCAAAAATGAATGAAAAAAGCAAACACATTAAAGGAACTGAACAAACAAAACAGACTGAACAAAAGAGAAACAAGAATGAAAATGATTGTGTTAGAAGAAAGTGCAAAAAGGATGTAAGGAAGAATGAATGAAAAAGGAAGCATGTTAAAGGAAGTGAACAAATGAAATATAAAGAATGAGCAAAAAAGATTCTCTATATTTCAGATAAAGAGAGAGAGAATTACAGTAAGAAAGAGAAGAAAGGGAGAATGAAAAGAAGAAAGTGACAGAAGGAATGAGAAAAATTAAGGAAGATTGAACGAAAAACAAATGAAAGTAACTGAACAAAGAATACAAACAAAAGATAAAGAAATGAAAAGAAAGTGAATGAACAAATAAAAGAGAGGAGAAAGAATGAATGTCAAAAAGCAAACAAAAAGAAAAGAATGACTGAAAGAATGAACTAACAAATGAAATGAAGTTGAACAAATGAAAGGGAACAAACAAAGGACTGAATGGAAAAAGAAACAAAAAAAAAATGAAAAAGAGAATGAACAAATGAAAGACAGAAAGAATGAACAAAAATAAGTGACATCAACAAAATGAAGCTGAACCATTGAAAGAGAATGAACAAAATAGAACCAATAATAAAAGGATGAAAGATTCCTGCAAGTTGAGCAATTACGCCATTACGTGAGAGGCTGTGTGTGTGTGTGCGCGCAGGCGGTAGTGTAGTTAAGCTGCAGGAGATCAGGAAGCTCAGTCCAGACCAGCGCCTGAGGGAGAAGAGAGCAGAGAGCTGTGAGCTCAGTTCACCAGCAGGGTAGACCAGACATGCTGCACTGACAGAAGTGTTTTATTTTCACGTGTCTGTTCTGAGAATTAGACTGAGGCAAATTTGATATGACCAGACTGGCCAAACATTTCGACACGGTTTAGGAAGCAACAGAGACAGATCAAAGCAACACGGTCTGGATCAAACGTTCATTTACACAGATCAGACACAGACCTGTTGGAGCAGTCACAGGTGACTCGTCTTCTACCTTCTTTAGCAATTACAGGGTACAAAATGAACACTGAGAAGGAATCACAACATGGTTTAAGTCGGATTGTATGAATGATAGATGTGATGTAAAATCAAACCATCTACTAAGCTGAATGGCGATAATAACTTTTCACCATTGTAACTTTATCTGTGATGTCAAAACTTTGTGTGTGTTTGTGTTTTTGTTTTTTGTTTTTTCAACCAGCCTATATATGATGCTACAAGTTTCCAAATGAATTGCTGGTGATATTATTTTGGACCCTAAGCACTTTTCATTCGAGTAAGGACCCTACACACAATGACAGTGGAACACAGGCTGCTGTCAAAGTGTTTTGCAGCTTTGCCTGTAAGTAAAACAATACATTTCAGATTAGAGGGAGATGAATAGTATGTCTTTTAAGAACATGGATAAACTGATCTATCCAGCAGGATATTTCCATCTTTGTTACTCTCTAAATTGTGTCGAAACCCACAGGGGTGTATTCACCGTACTGAATTTAACTTCAGGCAAAGAGGGTTTTTTCTTTTTCTTCGTAGGCTCATAAAAAGCTTCTTCCCTCCAACTCTCTCGGTGAGACGACACTTTGACGTTCCATATTGTGCTTTTATGTTACTCTAGCATCCTGAGTTTGTTTTTCAGTCTTTTTTTGTGATTCTCTTCTCTTTCCCTTCCCCTATATTCATTTTGTCTCTTTCTCATCTGTTTGTTCCTGGTCCATCTCCTGTTCATTTTCTCATGTTGTGCATCACCTTTTTCCCCTTTCATATCCTCATTCATTCTCCTCTTCACTCTGTCATGTACACCTGCTCGTCACTGCAGACGTCATAACTCCCACTGCTGTCTTTTACTTTCCATCCTTCCTCTCTGTCTTTCCTCTTCCGTCATTTCTTCCCTGATGACGTCAGTTCACCTGGCCTGTTTTTGGCTGGTAACATAAAAGGTCTGCCCATCTTTTATCTAAATCCACTTGAATTTTATATAACTGATTTTCCTTCACAACAATTATCAATAAACAGTTTGTTCATTGAAGGTCAGCTTGAATGCCGTTCATCCAGAAAAGGCCTTGGCCAGGTAAATCTCATAATGTAATGCAAGCTCTCCCAGTGCAGTGTGATTAAATTATGCAAAATTAACATAATAATATTTCTCGTTTTTTTCTCTGTAAGGGAATGTTCAGACAAGGGCGACGCAATCGTGCGTTCAGCAGAACAGTTACCACAGCACAAAGTCAGGAATCCTGACCAAACAAAACGTCTGTTCTGCACTTCCCTAACAGTCAGAACAATAGAGAGATTGGGCTCAATGCAGACTCAACATCTCTTTTTCGGTGCTGTATTTTTAATTAAAGTGCTTTCTGTCCTGCATTCGTTCTTTCTCATTGATATTAGGGAGGGTGGAGGCTTTTATCTTTTTGTGAAATCTGGTAATTTTGCTCTTAGACTTTTGCATTCTGCATTTACAGCACTGGCTTTATTTTAGTCTTCTTTTTGTGTCATCCTTTGTTTTTGTGTTTAATATACAGATGCGAAAAAAGTGTCAGTGAGTCATGCTGTGTAAATTTTGTGTGTTAGGTTGTGTTAGCTGTGTTTGTTTTGGGGAAAACAAGCTACACTCTTAAAAGTAAAGGTTCAAGGGGGGGTTTAGCGATTCCATAGATTCACAGTTTTTGGTTCCCAGAAGAACCTTAAAGTGAAGTAATAATTTAAAGAACCTTTTGTGCAATGGAAAGGTTCCATGGATATTAAAGAACCATAGAAGCTAAAAAAGAACCGTTATTTTTAAGAGTGTACACCAAGTCAGCAACGTCTTCCACCTCTGCATAGCAGCCTTTGGTGACCCGCATATTTTCTTGTTCCTAAGTGTTAATTAGAAGACCGCAACACTGGAAACTGATGAGCGCAGCCAATCAGGGACTCGGACTGATGTAGCAGACACTTCCACCCTGAGCACCTGGGCCTGACCATTTGGTTTTGCATATATGTGTTTTTGCAAGTCACATTTGCCAGGTTGCTTAAGAGGGTCTTCAAGACATCAACTGCAGCACGTCGAATACTGTACATTCACCTTTTAGAGAACCACCTGTGATGTTCAGATCATGAGGGGGTGTTTCATATCAGCTCAGTGATAAGTTTCTGAAGAGTCTTTAGATAAGGACTTCTGTGTCCTTTAAAAAAACCCTCCCATATTAGCATTGCACATTCATCTTCACATCCGTAATAGAACTGTTGCTTTGTATACCAACTCCTTCTCCCCAACCAGCCCTCCTTGCCCCAGACCATTGCTCCACGAAGCTCTAGCCTGAGGGTAGGTAGGGCATCTCATTGTGGTAGTTATAGTCTGGACAGACCTTCTGCACCAGTCGGTAGTCTGTGCTGTAGAAGGAAATGTAGATACAAATGACCTTAAAGGGTTTGGAGCAGATCCAGGACACGTGGCTTTGTGTCTGCTCCTGGAAGCAGGTCTTGGAGGGGTCATAGTTGCAGAGCGAGGTGCGTTTGCTGCGGTCCACCTTCTCGTAGTCTACACGACAGTTGAAGATCTTCGAGTCTTTAGGGTATACCACGCTCTGGCGCTCCAAGTCGAACTCCACAGCCTTCACCGGAGGTACCAGGCTGACGGAGATGTTCCCCTGGCCGGTGGAATTGTGACGGAAGTAGACGCTGAAAGTGCCATTCCCATGGTCCACGATCTTACCCGTGATGAGTAGGTTGAGGCGCACCGTCTTGATGTTGGAGTAGAAGTCGCCCCAGCCGAACATCTTCTTAAATTTGCCCGTTTTGACGATTGGTGGGCGGCGCTTGACACGCGAGTTCCCCGATGCGTCCGTGTCTGATTTGAAAAGATCGCTGCCCAGCATCTCCCAAAATTCCTGTTTGGAAAAGGGCACCGGCGAACGATAGGGCAGCTCCAATGTGGAAGTGTTGGAGGCACGGCCGCGGCTGTGCATCACCCAGCGACTCAGGGGTGAAATGGAACCCTGAGATCCCAGAACCCCCAGAGTTTTGGAGGAGTCTGCTGAGGAGGAGGACTTAGACGTAGACGAGGGGAAGGAAGATGACGGGTGGGTATCTTCCTGTCCTAGAGCCAGCTGGAGGAAAGAAAACAGGAGCAAGAATGAGCAGGTGAGTAAAATTATAATAGAGAGGATGAAAAATGTGACATTTAAAGAGAGGCGGTTACACAGACAGGAATTTGAATAGGAACTAGATTTGCATTTCCTGAAGGAAATACTGGTGTTTGCACGGCAGCAAAAGAATAGTGTTACAGTTTATGTAGGCTTAGGTTTTAGACTTCATTTCTGCATAACTTTGCTGTTGTCATGATGTTCAGCATCTGCCTTGTTTTCTGTTGACTGTGAATGAGAATTAACACGTTAAGTGTCTGTTGTGCTTCCTTTGCATATGTGGGAATTAAAATATGAATCAAATAATTCAATTTCATCAGCGATGATGTAATTGTTATTAGCATACTGAATTGCAAAGGGAGGCTTTTGAACATGAATTTTACATTTTTAAAAAATTGTTACGTTTATAAAAGCCAAAATGGATAGAGCGCCCAAGGCTAAAATCTACAAAACAGTTTGAATGGTGTCAAATGATTGAATTCTGTTAAATGGTTCAAGCTGAATTGATTGCATAAAATTATCGAGAAGATGAAGAAAATAGAATGTTTGAGGAATGTCAGTACAGGTCTGCCTTGTAAACACTGTGATAAAAAGAAGAGGAATATTAATGCATTGCTCGCCTTGCAATACAGCATAATTTGAAGGACTGAATTGAAAGGGGGAAAAAAAGAACAGCTAAAAGGGAAACATCATCAGCACTTGAATCAACATTCACCCACGGCAAAGCGTCATTGACGCCTCACTAAAATGTCCAGGCCACATTAGACTCCCGTCAACAGGAATTAATCTCTGTGGTCTGACCTGTACTCTACACTCACTGGTTCACAATATTGCTTTAGATATTGCGTGGGAATCATTTGATCCCTTTATGGCTTATCTATTTTTTACAGAAGATCTCTAGGACTCCCAGAGCTAATCTGACTAAGAGAGCGAGTGAGAAAGATCGTGAGATTTGAACCACTAATGAGAAACACTTACATTTTTATTCAAATTAACATTAATTAATTAATTTTAATGTATTTTAACATTTTTTTTATTAAGGACCTGCTAGACATGAACAGATACAGAAAACATACAATAGAGGGAGAGGTCTGGGGATGGATGGAGGTAGTGCAAAAAGCGAGAAGGATGTTGTTCGATAGAATAGTGTGTTTGTCTCATTGTTTGTATATAGAGAGCTGTGGAGGTGGATGAGATGCCTCTCTACGTGGGCTCATGGATGGGTGAAGAGCCACAGTGTGGGTGTAACTGGTAATTACTAGATGGTAATGATCTATTTGAAACACCTCATATACAGATAATCCAACAAGAGCTCTCATACCTTGGATCAAACAGTTGGATGTGACTCTTCACAGGCTTGTGTGTGTGTTGCAGAGTGTCAGAGAACAATGATGCTTTGATGTATTGTTTATTATCTGATGAGCTCTAAATTCTGTTTGGTCTGTTTCTCTGAGCCATGGGCCTGAGCTGCATTGTATCCACACGGTCAGGTTCAAAGCTGAAACTCCCCCAAAAGACACATTCGCTTCTAGGAAACAGTATCATGCTGTAGAGAAGCTCTCTGACTTCGCCAGAGACATAATTCACTTCCAGGTTTATGGATTGCAGAGACCTTGCGAGTTGTGGCGACATGGACCACAACCAAGAAAATTAATTCCCACTTTCAGTGGTGTCCAAGTCAACTGATGCCATCTCACACTACCTATAGTCATGTGACCTCTTGTCTTCACCTCCATCTGTTCCAGGGCATTAAAATATAACTGAGACTTGCCTCTGGAGTGCCAAATGTCTCTGAACCTGAGGTAGGTTCAAAGAGAGGACAGATTTAGTTAACCTGTTTATTATTTATGTATGTATGTGTTTTTTTTTTCCATTCTCTAAGGTGAATTGGTTTTATATTGTTTGATTCATTTTAGCCAACCACATTTGTTTAGATGAAGAATTTCAGTTGATGAAAAATGATTCATCTATTTAACTGTCATTACTTGTTTTATATGCTTTTTTGTAGTGGAAAAAAGGTATATTTAAATGCCAAATGACAAATAAATTAGCATTTATGTTTTTGAATAAGTTACATAAATTGTGTAAAGTGTTGTTTATTGAATATAAACAATAAATATAAAAAATAGGGCATAATGTACTGTGTTAAAGGAATTTTACATATTGATTTTTCACAGGTGTTTACCTCTATTTTGAATTATGCGTTGCATTGTATTGTTTTTAGGATTAGAATTAGGATTAGGGTTAAGGTTAGGGAAATGGGTTACACTTTATTTTGATAGTCCACTGTAGATATTCTACTAACTATAAGTAACTTTGCAACTACATGTCAACTAATTCTTATTCATTTGCAACTACATGTCTACTAACAATGTCTACTAATGGTGTTAGGTTAGGTTTAGGGTTAGTAGAATGAGTTGACATGTCCTCCTGAGAACCAGAAATAAAAAGCTTTGTGAATTTAGTATTTTTTCATGTCATTACATTGTTTAGAGCAGTGTTTCCCAACCTTTTTTTAGTCGCGGCACCCGTTGGAAATTATAACAAACTTGTGGCACCCTACAAAATTAATTTTGTCACAATATTTGAATTTCTATTTTTTAACTAACTTTGTTTAAGGATGGTTCTCAACTATGTTATAAAATATATAACAAAATGATTTGATATACCATTTTGCTTTATGCAATATGTGTGTAAAAATTCCATAAACTGGTTTTCTATTGCAGACAGAAACAATCTATACACTGTATCTAATTTGCATATTAAAGTGCTGTTGGGACAGCATGTTGAAAAAAGAAGTGTAATAATGGGAGTAGTAATTGGCCAGATTTTCATAATAAAATCTAATATTTCATAAGAATATTGATACATAATTTGTTTTCCTATTCAATTCTTTTGTCTCCCAAAATGTGTAATAAACATGCTTTTTGTCCTGGTGTCCTCTACAGTGGACATGTATGAAATGAGTAGTTGCAAAGTTACTTACTGTTAGTAGAATGTCTAAAGTGGACGATCAAAATAAAGTGTTACCGGGAAATGTCCGTAAACTTAAAGGATAATGTCCTGGCAGAATGTAAAACACACCCCCAGGAAAGCATTATGTACCTCAAGCTTTAAGACTTCAAATCATGCAATGGGTTCACACTTCTCTCTGCTCGGGTCATCCTGGTATCTCTCCAACTAGTACAGAACTCTTTCTGGTGGAGTAACATGGCACGAGACATCACCAACTATGTCAAGTCCTGTCAGATCTGTGCTCAGTCAAAAACCCCAAAGCTCACTCCTCTACAGGTCTAACCCCCTTCCAGTGCGTCCTAGGATTCCAACCGCCTCTGTTCCCGTGGTCTGGCGAACCCTCCTCGGTTGCTGCAGTGGACGACTGGATTCAACAACATCTGTTTAAAGCCTTGACCTTTAATAAACTTCCGCTCATGGATTCTAACCAAACTCCAGCGTCTCTGTTACACAGAACCTTTTTTTTTTCTTACAGTGTGTTGACACTGTTTTACTGTTGTAGAATTCTCCTTTCACAGTCATTGCAAAAATTTAGCAAATCGATTAATCTCGTTTGAATTATTAAAAAGAACTAATTCTAAAGAATTATTTCGCTTGTTAATTGCTTAATTAGATTTCTAGTTTTGTAATGATTTACCAATCATAATGTAATTACTAAAAAATACTTCATTGCTCAGGAGATTTTATGGACATTTATCAACTTAAAAATCATAGACATGATTAAAAAGACATAGACATGAATGACAGTATTGATATATAGTATGAGTGTAGAGCTATAAAACTGTTGTGGATAGCATATCTGGTTTGGAGAAACTTTGATGTGAAATGTTCATATTGAAATGTGTGGCTTTTAATTGCATGCTTTTGGCAAATATGAACACAGTTTGAGACATTATACCCTTTCACACAAACAGTCTTTACCGGTAAATTACCATTAAGAGGTCATGTGTGAACAGGACCTTTTCAAAAATACCGGCAAGTTTGTTTACCGGTATGAGAATTTGTAATATCACCAGTAAATTACCGGTAATGTGCTCTGTGTGAACGCAGAACGAGATTACCGGTATGAGCATGCATGAGTTCAGAACACGGTGACGTAAGACGTCTACTCCGGGCCAATCATAACATTCTGACACAGATAACGCATTTAATCCGCACTGTGTAGTTCGGTTTGAATCTATACAATGTCTCTGGGCCAAAAGCAGCTGCATGATTGTGAATGTTTGACAAAAAAATGAAAACATCAACAAAAACTCTGACCACGTATACCCTTCCATGTTTACAAACACAACACCGGGAGGCACAGATGTTTAGAGTTAATTTCCGGTTAATTATGTCACAGAATTTACCGGTATTTTGAAGCTGATGTGTGAATGGCACTTTACCGGTAAAAAGATGGAACGTCATTGCCTGTGTGAACAGCGCATTTTTTTATTTACCAGTAAAGTCATTCCGGTCATTTTAAGGCAATTTACTGGCATTACTGTGTGAAAGGGGCTATTGTCGAGATCCCTAGAGAAATCACTGGTGTGTGTTTTTTTTCAGGACTAAAATTGTATTGCTATTATGCCCCCCCATTTATTCTTGTCATCTACTAAAACGATTGAATTTAACGGTAATTTGCTTTACCGGTAAAAAGATGGAACGTCATTGCCTGTGTGAACAGCGCATTTTTTTATTTACCAGTAAAGTCATTCCGGTCATTTTAAGGCAATTTACTGGCATTACTGTGTGAAAGGGGCTATTGTCGAGGTTTTTTTTCAGGACTAAAATTGTATTACTATTATGCCCCCCCATTTATTCTTGTCATCTACTAAAACGATTGAGATATTAAAGAGCTATTAAAGGGATGTGTGATTTTTCTTTCATATGGGTAAGTGTATGATGGTGGTTTTTAATATAGAGCATGAAAAGTATAAGCATAGCAGGAAAGAAAGAAGAGAACAAGG